TAATTTTTGTATTCTACCTATCATGCACCATGGAAAAGAGAAATAATATCAGTGTATTTATTCTCTTGGGACTTTCTCAAAGCAAGAATATTGAAATCTTCTGCTTTGCATTATTTTTATTTTGCTATCTTGTTATTTGGATAGGGAATTTGCTCATAATAATTTCTATTACTTATAGTAAGCTAATTGGCCAGCCCATGTATTTCTTCCTTAATTACCTCTCTCTCTCCGACATTTGCTACACATCCACTGTGACACCCAAACTAATGAACGACTTACTGGAGGAAAGAAAGACCATTTCCTATAATAGCTGCATGACACAGCTATTTACCACACATTTCTTTGGAGGCATCGAGATTTTTATCCTCACAGGGATGGCCTATGACCGCTACGTGGCCATCTGCAAGCCCCTGCAGTATACTGCCATCATGAGCAGGCAGAGGTGTAATGCCATCATCATAGCTTGCTGTATTGGAGGATTTGTACACTCCGCCTGTCAGTGTCTTCTCACCATCTTCTTACCTTTCTGTGGCCCCAATGAGGTAGATCATTACTTTTGTGATGTGTATCCTTTGCTGAAACTGGCCTGCACTAATACACACACAATAGGTCTCTTAGTCATTGCTAATTCAGGCCTAATTGCTTTGGTGACTTTTGTTGTCTTGATGTGGTCTTATTTTTTTATTTTATACACTCTCAGAGCATACTCTGCAGAGAGCCGCAGGAAAGCTCTTTCCACTTGCACTTCTCACATAACAGTGGTGGTCCTGTTTTTTGTACCTGCATTATTCATTTATATTAGGCCAGCCATCACTTTTCCAGAAGACAAAGTGTTTGCACTTTTCTACACCATCATTGCCCCCATGTTCAACCCTCTGATCTACACATTGAGAAACAGGGATATGAAGAATGCCCTCAGGAAAGTTTGGTGCCATTATATGCTCTGGGAGGAAAAGTAACTTTTTAGATGCATTCCTGCTCTCAAGTCAGGTCCCCTGGAATCACAACTATGGATAAGAATCCCTCCCATCATCTGTCTTGACCCGCATTCGGAGAGAGAAATCAGAACACAGGGGATGCACTCTCTATGTTGTTTTATACCCTGTATGAGATTTTGCAAATAAAGTGTGCATATTATTTATACCATTCTCTATCTGACTTAATCTTTAACAATGTGTTCACATGAAAAGAAACAACCAGTTTCTTAAACATAAAGGATATATCATTTATTTGGCATTGCAATGAAAGAGATAAATAATGTGTTTTCCATTCCATAAATATGTTTTAAATATAACATTGCCTTCCAAAATTTAAAACATTTTACTGAAATTTAAATACAAGAAATTGTACATATTATACATTTACAGCTTATTAACTTTGAGAAGCTGAGCACTGTCAAGAAATTAGCATCCAGATCAAGAGTCAAAAATTGCCAGCTAGAAGCCTTTTGCCTATTTATAATCACTACCTCCTAAAGGCAATCATTATTTTATCTATAAGATCATAGGTTACTTTTATCTGTTTCTGTACTTTTTGGCAAATAAATGATTCATATTGTATTCTTTAGTGTCTGATCTCTTGTCATTGTTTTCATGAGATTGCCTATGTTTTTTTTCGTGTGTGTATTTTCTGGTCATTTATTTTTATAGATATATAGTGTCTCATTGTATGAATGTATGGCAATTAATCTATTCATTCTCTAGTGCTATACATGACGAGTACTACTGTCAATAAATTGAAACATGTTTTTTGGTGCATATATGTCTTCTGTTGTTTTGTGAAGAATATTTCATTTGTAATTAAGACTCAAAGATTTAAGATACTGATTGTGCTCTTGGATTAACACTCTAATATATTACTGACACAAAGTAAAAGATACATGAAAGAAAAGAAGAATTTTCAGTAAGAAAGCACTAGGAAGAGTGGGAGGGGGGAGCCTTAGAAATATGTGAAACTTCTCATAGTTCTAGAATCCATGTGACCAAGTATGGCATATGCTTATTAATTCTAACTGACCTGTCAATCACAGACTCATGTAGGGAAAAAAAAAAAAGAAGAAGAAGAGGTGAAAAAAGAAGAATGATCTTAGAGAGGGAGTTGACACAGGGGAGCTCAGAATAATGCTCACAGATAGAGCATCTGTTTACTTTAGCAAGATTAATATATAGGCAATTGCCATTGGGAGATTTATCAGATAGGATCCTTACTGAAGCATATGGAATTCCTTGACCTATTAATTAAAACAGGGAAAATTCTATAACGCCTTAAGAAGAAAAAATTGGGCCTACATTGGGCCTCCAGATTAGTACAGTGGGGCAAGATAAAGAAGAAATTTTATCAATTCAAGTTATTACTGGGGTTTTCACATACACACACACACACACACTACCAAAAAAAAATCAAATTCACTGCCATCAAGTCATTTCTGGCTCATAGCCACCCCCCCACTGGAATTTCTGAGGCTATAAATCTTTATAGAAGGAGACATACCCATCTTCCTTCCATGGAGCAGCTGGTGGATCTGAACCTCTAACCTTCAGGCTAGCAGCCAAATGCCTTATCCACTATACCACGAGAGCTCCTTCACATATATCATAGGCAATAAGGTCTTTCGTAGGGCTTCTATTTCTACCATAATTTCAGGAAAGAAGTGTGTTCATATAGATAAACCCAAAATGAAGAACACATTTTAGTTTTGGTCCAAAAATACATGTTATCACAATAAAAAATACTGTATGTAGGACAAAATTAGACTACAAAGAGCATATTACAGAGTAAAACTACATTTGTTAAGTTATCCCAAACATAAATATTGCATAAATACTTTTAAAAATATGATATATAACAGAGTCTCAGCATTGTTTGCTTTTATTAAAAAATAACTTAAAAATAAATAGATTATTTTAATTAGTAAGTAAATGGATGTTGTTGTTGTTAGGTGCTTTAGAGTAGGCTCCTACTTACAGTAGATGGATAAGCCATAGTAATTATAACTGAGTAAAGAATCAGCAAGCTGAATTTTAGACATTAATAAATTATTCAGTATAGAGAATAGAGAGATAAGAAGATGTCAAAACAAAAAGTGACATTGGCTTAACTTTTGACCAAACAACAGACCCGTGGAGTGAACAACAATATCAGGGAGGCATGCACTCCTTAGAATAATCAATCATAATAGATCAAAAAGGCAGCATTTGTCCAGAGATAAACTTCAGAAATCAGAAATGGATAGGAAAGAAGGACAAATGGACATGGTAACAACCAGGAGGACATAGGAAGAATGCTGTTACGGTGTGGGGACAGCATTCAATGTCATGAAACAAATGTTTACAAAGAGTTGAATGGAAAACCAATTTGTTCTGTAAACTTTTACTCAAATAATTAAAAAAAAGATTTAAAAATAGAAGTACCAGTAAGATGGCAGAATAGGCAGATGAACTACACAAACCCTCTTCAACAAAGAAAAGGGGAACTAAATAACCCACATATAGAAGATAATCCTGGAGCCCTAAGATTTGAAAGGAAGGGTACATAAGTGGACTAAACTCCAACTAGCAGAAGAATCTGCATGAAAACACTGAAAAAAGAGACATACAGAGCTGTGAATTGTTAGCAATGAAGATGGCATGGACAGCTTGGATATTGCCAAGTGATGTTAGGACCTAAGAATTAACCTAAAAATTGGCCAACTTGACTTTCAGCCAATCCACCAACTTGACCTTGTTGACATCTACAGAACACGTCATTCAACAACAACACAATATGCATTCTTTTCCAGTATACATGGAACAGTCTTCATGATAAACCATATGTCAGGCCATAAAACTAGCCTTAAAACATTTAAAAACATTGAAATACTGCAAAATATCTTCCCAGATCACAATGCTATCAAATCAGAGATCAACAATAGGAAGATCAAAGGAAAAAGAGCAAACACATGGAAATCGAATGAAATGCTCCTTAAGAAAAACTGGGTAAGAGAATAAATAAAAAATAAAGTAACAAATCCATGAATCAAATGAGAATCAAAACAGTACATACAAAAATCTTTGGGACACAGCAAAAGCAGTGATCAGAGGCCAATTTACAGGAATAAATTCATACGTGAAAAAAGAAAAAAGAGCTAAAATCTACACTTTAAAACAAAATCTCCAACAATTAGAAAAAGAATAGCAAGGAAAGCCTAAAGTCACCACCAGAAGAAAGGAAGTAATAAAGATTCGAGCAGAAATAAATGAAACAGAGAATGGAAAGACAATTAAAAAAAAATCAACAAGACCAGAAGTTGTTTATTAGAAAATTGACAAAACACTGGCAACTTTCACAAAGGAAAAGAGGGAGAGAATACAAGCAATATATATAAGAAACAAAATGAGCAACATCACAACTGAAATGAAAAGAATAATATCAGGATACTATGAGGAACTGTACTCCAACAAATTTGAAAATTTGGAAGAAATGGACAAATATATATAAACACACTACTTACCTAAATTAACACAGACTGAGGTGGAAAAAGTAAACAGACCCATAACAAAAGAAGAAATTAAACAGGTCATAAAAAAATTACCAATAAAAAAAAAAATCCTAGCCCAGAAGATTTCACTGGAGAATTCTATGAAACATTCAGAGAAGAACTAACACCAGTCCTTCTCAACCTATTCCAAAAGAGACAAGGATGGCATCTTCCCAAATTCATTTTATGAAGGCAGAATAACCTTGATACCAAAACCAGGCAAAGACATCACTCAAAAGAAAAACTACAGACCAATATCCTTCATGAATATAGATCCAAAAATCTTCAACAAAATCCTACTCAATAGACTCCAACAACATACCAAAAAATAATACATTTTGACCAAGTGGGGTTCATATCACTAATGCAAGGATAGTTCAACATTAGAAAATCAATCAATGTCATCCATCTTATAAATAAAACAAAGGAGAATAAACACATGATCATATCAATTGATGCAGATAAAGCATTTGATAAAATGCAACACCCATTCCTGATCAAAACTTTCAGCAAAATAGGAATAGAAGAGATATTCCTCAACACAATAAAAAACATCTATGCAAAACAACAGCCAACATTATTCTCAATGGAGAGAGATTGAAACCATTCCCCTTGTGAATAGGAACGAGACAAGGATGCTTGCTATCACCACTTCTATTCTCATTGTACTGGCAGTCCTAGCCAGGGCCATAGGGCAAGAAAGGGACATCAAAGGCATCCAGATTGGTAAGGAAGAAGTAAAATTATCCCTTTTTGCTGATGTATGATCTTATACATAGAAAACCCAAGGGATTCAGTCAAAAAGCTAGTGGAACTAAATGAGAGATTCAGCATCATGGCAGGATACAAAATCAACATCCAAAAATCAGTTGGATTCCTCTACATCAGCAAAGAGATGCTGAAAACAACTAAGGAAATCAATATCATTTACAATAGCTATCCCCCCCAAAAAAATAAAATACTTGGGATTAAATCATACCAGGGACACAAAAGACCTGTACAAAGAAAACTACAAAACATTACTTCAAGAAGCTATAAGAGATCTGCATAAATGGAAGAACATATCATGCTTGTGGATAGGAAGATTGAACATTTTGAAAATATAAATTCTACCCAAAGCAATCTATACATTCAATGTAACCTCAAACCAGATCCCATCAACATTCTTTAAGTATATGGAAAAACCAATCACTAACTTTATATGGAAAGGAAAGAGACCTTGGATAAGCAAAGCAGTGTTGAAGAAGAAGAACAAAGTAGGAGGTCTCACACTGTTAGACCTCAAAACCTGTTATACAGCCACAGTAGTCAAAACTGCATGGTATTGGTACAAAGACAGACACATAGAACAACAGAAAGGAATTGAGAACCCAGAAATAGATCTATCTATTGGTCAGTTGATCTTGATAAAGTGCCAAAATCCATTAAATGGGGAAGAGATGG